TTTTGTCTTCTGACCCACAAAATATCCATGGCAAAAACTTGTGACCCCAAACGAGAATACGCGAATTTCGTTAATAACCCTAAAAACACAGGCTTTTTGACAGTCTAAACAGCTTGTACACAAATATAAATACTTATTTTTACTTAGTTTTTGTTTTTGTAATAATTATAGGGAAAAATATTACATAAGCATTTATTTTATTACCCTTTATATTGATTTCTGGAGATTATCCAAGGTGCTTCATGACCCATAATTGGGTCCCAAGCCTAACATTGGGAACCAAAGTGCAGTGGTTCCCAAACTTTTCAGCTTTTGACCCAGAAAATAACAGTAGCAGAGACCTGTGCCCCCAACTATTTTATACTACATTTATCCATTTTAAATACACTAACCTCACTCCTTTGTAACAACTAAGGCAAAAACGTAATTACCCCAGAAAATAATTTCAGGACCCWACCTTGATGTTTCGGGACCCCACTTTGGGTCCYRACCTCAACTTTGGGAAAYAYTGYCTTAGAAGGTTCATGTCAGATACATGTCAGGCAGTCACACACACACTGAGACACAGGCAATAACCTGCCTTTTATAATCCTGAACATAAATACTATCATCACTTAYTTCCTTATAGACATGCATTTATTCATTTATTTACCTTTGCTCTTCAAAAACAGAAAACATCTGTAGGAAGTTTTTTTTTTATTGTTTGTTTGGATAAATGCAGATTCTTAAGGTTCAGGAATTTGCTTTTGCTCATTTTTAGCTCATGTATGTAATAGAAATCTGTAGATTTAATTTAGTCTTTTAGATAAAAGCAGATATTTCACGTGAGATTTTTATTATTTTATTTTTGATGTTACTGGTATGCATCATCCAAAAATAAAGACAGACTGATATGAGGCATAATGAAACTGTAATTTTAGACATGACCACTAGAGAGAGCCACATGATAACAGCAGATCATGAAAAGCCTTTGTCCCTGAAGAGGCAACAACCAAAAGGAAAAACAATAACATTATTTTTTTATTCTTTATATATTTTTCTTCGCTTTCAAAGTCTTTGATTAGTCATTAATTTGCATATAGATTATTTAGA